CCACTAATCTGTTCTCCATTTTAAAAATGTTATTATTTCAAATGTTACATAGATGGAATCATACAGTATGTGACCTTTTAGTATATATATATATATATATATATTTTTTTTTTAAGATTTTATTTATCTTTAGAGGGGAAGGGAAGGAGAGAGGGAGAGAAATATCAATGTGTGGTTGCCTTTCCTGTGTCCCCTGCTGGGAACTGGCCTGCAGCCCAGGCATGTGCCCTGACTGGGAATCGAACCATGGTTGTTTGGTTTGCAGGCCCACGCTCAATCCACTGAGCCACATCAGCCAGGGCCTTTTTTCAACTTAGGATAATTTAAGAGCTCTGTTTTGGATTTTCTCCCTTACCCAAGTATATGCTTGCTCCGTCACTTGCTGGGCACCTTCCACACTACTAGTTCTTTTCTTCTATGGCTGGGGTGAGCCAGTGTTAGAAAGAAGTGGGATGGCCCTGGTTGGGTGGCTCAGTTGGTTAGAGCTTTGTCCCAATACACTGAGGTTGTGGATTCCATCCTCAGTCAGAGCACACACAAGAATCAACCAATGACTGCATCAATAAATGGAAGAACAAATCGCTGTCTCTCTCTCAAATCAATAAATAAAAATTAAAAAAAGGAAGTGGATTAAATTCCCTAAGAGGGCCACTCGGCCACAGCACACAGCGTTTACGGAACTTTGGACACGGCGAGGGGCCGCTGTCTCAAAGGGCACATTGTAACAGGGCCATGAATCCTGCCTTTCAGCCGGATTTGTTTATCAGTTTGGTGCTGGTAGCAACACAAGAATTGACATGTCAGTAGGGCCGGCTGCTCCAGAAAATACGATAGATAATACATCTTGTGGTAATAAGACTTTAGCAGGTGAAATAAGTGGCATTAACAGTTAATAGGGGAAAGGAAGAACGATTCCAAAAATGGTACCCAAGAAAGGGAATAAGAAACGATCAGAAAGAAGGAAAAAAGAGATGTGACATGTGCCAATGAATTTCTAAAGAGAGAATAAAGTGCTTTCTCATTTTTAAGTTATTGTTTTATTTATGAAACCATAAAACAAGTATAAGAAAACTTAAAATGTATATTTTCCAAATGAGAAAAGGACTTTGTAAACATGGGAACAGGGGAAAAATCACAAAGGAAAGTACTGATAGATAAGACTGTGGGAGCCTTTTTTAAAATTTATATCGAAAAACATCCTAATGTAAAGCCAGTGAATCGAGCAGATAATTTTGTATCTCTTCTGTCAAATTTGGGTCTTGGTCCTGTGGTGCGTTTGAGCCCCTCCCCCTCCTCACACGTGGCACCTTGTTTGGGTTCTGAGCCACTTTCGACACAGAAGACTGGAAGTGGAGGCCTAGATCTCTGTTGTTGCAGCTAACGGCCAACCCAGGAGTTAATCCTTAAATCGTGAGAGGTAGGTCTGAGACCATCCTGGCTGCCACATAAAGAACTTTATCACATCACAGTTGTTAACTCGTGGAATAAGCTCACATGTTTACTACTCACTGATTCAAAGCAGTTATTTCACTTGTTCTAAAGTACAGAGTCCCATGGTGTCTATAAAATAAAAGATGTTGGAAAACAGTATTGTTAAATGATAAGCTGTTAAGCTCTCTTCCCTTGTGTGTGGTTATTTACCCTCACAGAACTCAACCTGGCACTGGCCTTGCTCCTTACACTTTGTCTGTTTCGGGTGCTCAGTCAGTCTTCCTACCAAAGTAGAGCGTGGACTTGGAGTCCAGGAATCAAACCGTGGCTCAGCTGCTTAGTAGATAAGTAATTCCAAACAATTTACCTAATTCTATCAGAGAGAAAGCTGCACCCCTCTGCGGGGGCGGTTCAGTGGATTTGAAGCAGGAGAGTCAGGAAGGAGGAAACTCTGGAGGTGTCCCAGGGTTAAGACTAAGGACTTCGATACAGGTCAGAGATCAAGTTCTAAGACTAGTTGTTTCCGCTTTTCTGGAAAAGCTGAATCATGGTGAGTCATGACTGCACCTGCGCAGAACATGCTACGCGCCCCTCTGCGGGGGCAGTTCAGTGGATTTGAAGCAGGAGAGTCAGGAAGGAGGAAACTCTGGAGGTGTCCCAGGGCTAAGACTAAGGACTTCGATACAGGTCAGAGATCAAGTTCTAAGACTAGTTGTTTCCGCTTTTCTGGAAAAGCTGAATCATGGTGAGTCATGACTGCACCTGCGCAGAACATGCTACATGAGCCCTGCTCCATTATAACAGCATTATAATAAATTCACATTTTGTGACCCCCCATCTCTGGTGGCCAATCAAGGAAAATCATGGGAGACCACATGTGCAGTAGCTTTAAAGTAATACAACTACTTGTACCTGTGCAATAAAAGACACCAAAACTAGCCAGGAAATATCAACCCTATAAGAATAGAATCCCTTTGGCCCCTGAGGTCAGTCTCTGCTCAGAGTTAGCCCACTCTCATGTTCTGTGGAGTGTAGTATTGCTTCATAAATCTGCTGTCTCTCTTTCTGCTACAAACTCTGTGTGTCAGTTATAAATTCTTTGTCGTGATCACCAAGAACCTGGTTACCTGTGCCCACCTGTGACAGATTGAGTGCCAGCCTGCAAACAGAAAGGTCACTGGTTTTATTCCCAGTCAGGGCACATGCCTGGTTTGCAGGCCAGGTCCCCAGTTGGGGGTGTGTGAGGGGCAACTGATTGATGTGTATCTCTCCCATACTGAATTTCTAGTTTCTCTCCCTCTTTCTCCCACCCTTCCCCTCTCTCTAAAAGCAAAAAAAAAAAAAAAAAAAAAAAAAAAAAAGATAAAGCTTGATACTAAAGTGGTAAGAACAGATCTGAATCAGTAATACACCTCTGCACTAAGGAAGAAGGTCCAGTGTGAACTGAACTCAACTTGGATTTGTACAGAGGTGACTGGGCTTTTTAAAAGGAGGGAGAGGGAGGAGGGAGGGGGACCAGAGGGGCTTGAGGAGAGTCAGGCAAGAGAAAAATGCCTAATGAGTGTCAGTGCTGATTAGGCCAGCTGTGTGGTAGCTGCATTCTGACAGGGAGACAGAAGCCCCATCCTTTCTTACAATCATATTTCAAAGGAATGGTTTTCAGGTCCTTGAGAAAGACACTCCTGAATTGTAGGAGATACATAATATCTCAAATATACGGAGCAAGGATTCTCACAGTATAGTGTGAGCCTTTTTAGTAAATGCTCTAAAAAAGGGTGGTAGAAGCCCCATCATCCAGTGTTTGCTAGAATAGTAAATTCTTTTGGTACCCTCCAGCTCCTTAAGGGGGCTAGAGTCATCCTGGGGGAACAGGCCTTGAGCTGTTAGAAACTATGTTAGTGTTTGTTTATGTCTTTGAATTTTGGGTGGGGAGGGTTGTGGAGTATATGAAATCATTCACACTGAATCTGCAGATTGTATAGGCCGAGGTTGAGATCTCATGGAGATGAAGGCTCAGAAGATTCCAGCTAGTTTGGCCAAGGAGAGAATCTTTGTCAGTTCCCTCCTGGAAAATGAGAGTATATATTTAATCGTCCTTCCTCATAAAGGGAAATATCTATTTTATCTGCTCCTTTCTTCCTGTCTTGAACGTATTTGTGTGAGAATATGATGACTGGAGCTGCGGCAACTATTTTGAGATCACGAGGAAGCAAACTGAAAGGTGAATAGCCAGCCAGCTCCATAAGGAGGGTATTGTGTGGAAAATTAGAAAGAGCTTTGATGACATCACTAACTCTTGGATCCAAATCTGGAAGCATCTATTTCTAACCCTTTTCTTTTCAATAAGTTTTAAATTTAAGAATAGATTTGAAAAGTTGCAAATGTAGTACAGAGTACCAATATACCCCTCATCAAATTTCCCATATTATTAACCATCTCACTGTGATGGCTCATTTGTCACAACTAAGAAGCTAACACTAGTACTGTAGTAATAAGTAACTTCATGTTTTATTTTAATTTTACTGGTTTTCCCCTAATATCCTTTTTCTATCCAAGATTCCCTGCAGAATATCACATCACAGTTAACTGTCCTGCCTCCTTTGTTTCCTCTGGTTTATGACAGATTCTCAGAGATTATTTGTGTTTCATGACCTTTGACAGATTTTAAGAGTGTTGATGAGGTGTTTTGGGGTTTGTCTGATATTTTCCTTTTTTTTTTCTTAAACCACCAAATTATGCTTTAAATCTTTCATTTATTTGTTTTGAGAGAGAGGGGAAGGCAGGAAGAGAGAGAAACATCAATGTGTGGTTGCCTCTCGTGCCCCCCCTACTGGGGACCTGGCCCGCAAACCAGGCGTATGCCATGACTGGGAATCCTACTGGCCACTTTTCGGTCCGCAGGCTGGCACTCAGTCCACTGAGCCACACCAATCAAGGATGATGTTTTTTCAAGAGAGAACAGGGGTTACAGGCTTTGGAGAAGAACACCACAGAAGTAAAGTACCTTCCCTACATCCCTGGCATCCTAGCAACATAGTTCATCACACACGGTTAACTCTCATCACAGGGCCACTGCACTGCTTGCATGGTTTTTCTACTCTGAGGTTACTTTCCGCCACTTTATTCTTCACCTGAGGATATGTTTATTGGTTTCAGAGCCAAAGTAAGGAGGTGTGAGACATCGATGTGAGAGAAAACCACCGGTTGCCTCCCGCAGTGCCTCAATGAGAAATCGAACGCGCAACCTAGATACGTGCCCTGACCTGGTTCCTGCCGCCTTTTGGTGTACGGGAGGACGCTCCAACCAGGTGAGCTACCCAGCCAGGGCACTTTCCCCCCACTTTCCACACCGTACTGTACTCTTTGGAAGCAAGTCACTATACACATCTTATCATCAAGGTGGAGTGGGTGGGGCGGAAATTGAGCTCCCTTCCGCAAGGAGGACTATTTACCTAAACAAAAGGAAATTCTTTTGGAAGGCCGATCCTCGGACTATTAAGCCTTTGAGGCGGGGCTAGCCAAGCAAAGGGGCGGGCCTGGGCTGTTGGGGAAGTAGGGGCGGGCAGAGTCTGTGGCTGCCAGGGATTGTTGGTTCCGGGGCGAGGTGAACGTCCGCGGACCAAAGGGTGGGTGCCTGCCCTGAGGGTCTGGCCTGAGATGCGCACCTAGGAGGTTCCTTTTAGCAGGCAAAAGGTGACGCTGCAGGTCGGCTCATCAGGGTGCAGTTTCCCCTCAACTGGGGTCCGGGATCCTAGATCACTGCTTGTCTGGGCGTCCTCGGCACATCCGGAATACACTGCACATGCGCCAGGCGGTAGCCAGTTGCGGAGACGGGGGCTCCTGGCAAGCAAAGACTTGGTTTCAGTTAGTGAAGACTCCGTGCAGTCCTGACGGCGCCCAGCTTCTCCCTCTGCTGCCGTGGCCCGTTTCTTTAATTCGCGATCATTTGAGTGCTGTTCCGGGTGTCCACGTGCCTTGAGCCCACTTGCCCCGCCGCCATGTTGAAGCCGGCGCCCTTCTCCAAGGTGAGCCGGAAGCACTTCTGGGTCTGGGCATCCTGTTGTCTGGGTAACGGGAGCAGCCTTGTGCTGGAGCGTTCTTGTATTTTAATTTTTTGATGTAAGGAGAACTGAGTGCGTATCACATACCTCCGCCAGTCCCGGAAATAGTACTTTTGGCGAATGTTCGTCCAAGAAGCCATTGTAGAGGCGCTGGCGAGGGTCGGGATGCGAAGGAGCCTAAAGACGGGGGTTTGTAACCAGCCGGGTCTGGCTCTCGCCCGGCCTGTTGGGGCGGCGCTGGGAGGGCGACGTGTGGGACCTGGAAGACTGCTCGTGTGCTGGTCGGACAGGGAGGAAGGACCGTGCCGTTAGCCAGACTGTCATCGTAGCTCCACAGGTAGAGGTCACTTGCCGGACCCACGGTCCTACGCGTAGCTGGCCAGGACTCAGTCTGCGGGTGAGGTGCTGCGCACCAGAGCTGACGAGCCGGGCCCCCACCCTGGGAGCCGACTTGCCACCTTTTGGTAGATGAAACAGTGACACTTCCAGGGCCCAAGTGGGGTGTTAATAGTGCCTGGAGCTCTTGTCTTGTTACTCATTTCTGTCCGGCATTAGTAGTAGATTTGAAAAACAGTTGTATGATTGAAGTGCACATATATAAACGCAAGTAGTATTCATACTATGTTAATCATGTACTCATACGTGTGTAAATCAGAGAAGGAGAATACAAAAGGAATAGTAAAAGCCCCTTCCCCTTGCACATCTTTGAAAATCTTTTCCTAAATCCTTTGGTTTTATAAACATCTGTAATGTGCTCAGAAGTAAACCTAGAAGGGATCATTGAGTTTGTAAAGTTCTGCATCTTTGTTTTTTTCACTTAACATATATCTCGGACAGTGTTACCTCTTAGCATATATTTTTCTCCCTGTTAATGGCTGGGTAGTACTCCTGTGGTTGTTTTTAGTGGATTTTATGTTTATGTTTCCAAGGAAGTAACATGTAGAAACTAGTAGTCATTTTAGATTTTATTATTATGTCTTTGTTTTGTTTGCTTTGTTGGCGCTCATTCTCTCCCTGATCTCTCGAAAACCCTGATTAACTACATTTACTTCAGGATCGTGTTTTGTTTTTGTTTTTTCTCTCCAAGACTACCTGGCCAATGGGGGCTTTGTGGCTCCCTTTTGTTCAGAAGTATAGTTAGGTCGGTGCTTAGTAAATTTCGATTAGATATCAGGTGGGTAAGTCACCAAAGCACAGGATTATCAAATCAGTGTTAAGGATTTACACTGATTAATCAGTGTTTAGTAGGACTTCAAGATAGAACTGCTAATGGGCATTCAATTCCTACACAAGGGATCAGGATTTAGCTCTTACTATAAATGTCCTGTATACAAAAAACACTTTAGAGAAATGGTTTACCAAATAAAATATGTTTGTCTACTTATGTCTTTATAGGTGCAAAGAACAGTGATTATCATACACTGGGAGAAAAGGCAAAGGAAATGCTTTTTGTTTTAGGTTGGGCACCTAAACAGAAACTGCAGTTTCAGTATGAAGAAGGGAAGAGGAAGAACAAGCCGCATGAGAAGACGAAAACTCTTCAGAAGTTCTGAATCAAGAGGAGGTACGATTTTGACTTTTTTGGTGCTAGTGATCACGTAGCTGCTCTCAAGGGCACGTGGGCAGAGTTCACAGAGAATGTTTCTCAGAGAATACTCTTTGTGATTGTGCCTCTGTGTTCTTTTTAATTTGTGGGGATATAGGTATACTTATCATTGCTTCAACTGTGTCTTCTTTGGGGATGACTTCCAGGGTTCTGTTTTCAGTCCTAACCTCTCTCCTGACCTCTGATTACCTGCAAAGTGTCAGTGTTTGTATATAACGTCATCATTTTGAGTTGAGCATAACTTAGTTTGAATGACCTGTTGTATGTGAAAGTGCTTGGCTAACTAGAAGGTACTATCTTATAACATTAGGTTTTTACCAGTTGCTTTTCCTGCCTCTTTGAGATGATTATATAGTTTTTCTTTTTAGTTGCATTGTTTGTACATTTTAAAATTGATTCCCTTTTATGATAACACTGAGGCAGTTCATCAGAGATTTTCTTTTTAGTGGTGATCTGATTATACAGTGATTTTGATTACCATTTTTTCTTTCCATGATTAGTGAATGAGAGCTACAAGCCTGAATTTATAGAGCTTAAGAAGTGGCTCAAGGAGAGGAAGTTTGAAGACACAAACTTGGTACCTGCTTGTTTCCCAGGTAAGTTGGGCCTTCAGTTCTCATGGCCTTTGTCACACGAGGCTTGTGGGCACAGGTGACAGGAAAGCAGGGGCGAGACTCGCAGGTAGCACTGTTCTCTCTGGGAGCATGTTTTGTGTTGGGTGTCGGGCCTCCTGCCTTGTAGTTATAACAGTTGTGGAGGTGGGTTAACATTCTTTACCTAAAAATAAAGTGGCTTGTGGAAGGACTTCCAGAGTGGTAAAATAAAATTCAAAATGTAAAAGGGAAATGAAAACAGAAAACTGAGGTGAAGGCAGGGGTCAGGCTGATACAGAAAGGCCATAGTTGTGAAACCTCACGTGTGTCCCAGAGGTGAGCCACCGCCCTGACGCACCTTCCAGCAGCCCGGATGGATTCCAGGAGCAGCGCCTGAGTCTTAGTGTCTGTGGGCCTCAGGCTACTCAGCGGAAGTGCAGGTGATCCTGGCGCTTGGACTTAAGGGAAAAGTCCTCACTGGGTCCTCGCAGAGAAGACAGCTGTGTGACGTGGTGACTGGTGTCCTCGTCAGCACACTTACGGTGGTGGCACAGGGCTTTTGAAACAGTGCAGGCTCACAGGATTACCCCATGGCTCAGGGGAGGGAGGTTCCAAATGGCCGATGCACTGGCGGTCTCTGGTGTGTGACCTGACGCGGGAGTCCTGGGGAGGCCACGGCCACTTCCTGGGTGCTGGAGGAGCAGCCTCGGGGCTGAGACTGCGGCCGTCCCCTGCCTGAGCAGAGGGGTTAGCGTTCTCTTGGTTTGAGCAGCTGGTGGTGGAAGTTGAATTAATACTCTTTTCTGGAAATTGAGCAGCTTGTCTTGGACTTTGGTTTAGCATTCTCTTCTGGAACATTCCCTTATGGAAGTCGGGCAGCTTGCGTGGGTGTGTGCCTGCACACAGGGCTGCCCAGCTCTGTTGTCCAGGTGTGGGCTTAAGTGACCACGGGGAGGCAGGACCGCCTGGCTCTTCGAAGGGTGTGGGTCTGTTGTGGCGCAGAGGTGGCTGCGTGTCGGGGCCCCGACCGACCTTGTCACAGGTCAGGTGCGGGCGTTTTACCCGATGGAACGTTCATGTCCTGTGCTTCTGAACGCTCCCCTTGGCCACAAAAATGATTATTCTAGTACCCTCAGGGCACTCAATTGAGCAAGTTCACATCCTTATCCATCATGCAAGAGAAGTGACTTGCCCTGTGGCCCCTGGTTGGGTTAGGTGATGCGTCGAGAGGTGCTCCCCGTGCGTCAGTTACACAGGGTGGCTTTGGGCCGAATTACTGTTCGAGCCATTTCTGTTAGGGCCGCTCTTCAGGGTGGTGAGTCGTATCTGTTAGTCCGGGACAGAACGTTCCTGTTCGGCCAGGAGTGGACACACGGGGCCCGAGGCCTGCGCACTCCTCAGGTGTCAGTTTGCCTTGAGGGGGATAGGTTTAAAATGCCCAGGCAGGGGTTGACAGTGCTTTAAATGGAATGCCTGAAAGTAAGTAATCCGTTTATACTTGGGAGCAGTGGAGAGTTACTGTTTTTATTTTTATTTTTTTAAAGGTTTTATTTATGTTTTAGAGAGAGGGGAAGGGAGAGAGAAAGAGAGGGAGAGAACCCTCAAAGTGTGGTTGCCTCTCACGTGCCCCCACTGGGGACCCGACTCACAACCCAGGCCTGTGCCCCGACTGGGAGTCAGAGAGTTACTGTTTGTAGAAGTAGGAACAAGTCTGTCTGGGCCCCTGCAGATTCATAGCTGTGGAGGGGCGGAAGCCAACCGGTTAGGCCGTGGTCAGAGCTGCTGGCTGACAGTGCCGGGGGCCAAGGGGCCCTGTCAGCTCTGGCTGCTCGAACAGATCACCGAGACTGGGGGCTTAACCCGCGGTGTGTCCCTCACAGCTCTGCAGGCCGGGACGTGCGGGATCAAGGTACGGGCAGGCGAGCATCCGGTGAGGACCGATTCCTGCTTTGCAAATTGCCATCCCTGCCTGGCGTCTGCACGTGGTGGGCAGAGCACAGGGGACTGGCGCGGGCTCTCGTGTCTGTTTTTGTAAGGCACTAAACCCCACTTAGGAGGACTCTACCCTGTGACCGAATTACTTGCCAAATCCCCTCATGTTTGGGGTTAGGGCTTCAATGTGTGACTTCGGAGGAGAAAGGGGACCCAGACATTCAGTCCATGACACCTTCTCCAGGTCCTTTATGTATCTTCAGCTCTTCCTTGGTGTGCATAGAAACATTTATGGCATTCTGACCAAATGTACAAACTTGGGGGGCACTAAATCATAGTGTGTGGTGGAGCGAGGCGAGGACCCCAAGTTGCAGGCGGGGTTCAGCCTTCATACTGCCACCTGATTTGTGCTTCAGGAACCGACCTCAATCGGTCCTCCTACCACCAGAGCCCTGGGCACAGGGGAGCCCCCAGGCAGATTCGGGGGAGCAGAAACTTTAAGGTGGTGGGAGTCTGTGGTAAGCTTTACTTTGCTAAGGTCCTAGTGGCCGCTTGCGACCTTGCCTCAGCCCATGCAGGTTATTGTGGTCTGTTTCCTGATCAACATAGTTTCTACTGTAGTGTAGACACAGGTGTAGTATCTTCCAGATTTAGCCCGTACGCCAGGTTCTGGTCACATACAGGGAGGGCAGATGTAGGTTTATAGTTGTGAGCATGTGAAACACAGTTTATTCTTATGTTATTGTGTATGAATTACTGTATAATGTGTATTACAACTGTAAACCTACTTTTGCCCACCCCCATATATGTTTGGCGATAAATTTCCACTTAAATCTTCATACAAGTCTTTTAAGGATGACTCCGTGGTGGGGGCGTGGGGGTCCTTTCCTTAGTGTTGGTTCCAGACAGGCTCTGGCACACGGGGATGATTGCCCCCACCCTGGGGCACACCCCAGAGGTTAGGTTCTTACAACCAGAACCGTGTGTGATCAGGTGGGTGCTTCTGGGTGGGGAGGCGAGTGGGGCCTCGTCAGGCAGGGATTTCCTCTCGAACCAGGAGCTCCCAGTAGCCCTGCAGGCTGACCTTTGCTGAGTTGTATTTCCTCCTGGTCAAGCGATACAAGGTCAAGAGCTGTGAACTTGAAGAGATGAGTACTGTAGACCCATGCAGGAATTACTGGTCATGTCGTACGTGTGCCCACCAGAGAAGCAGCCATCTGACTGTCCCAGGGGGGCACACAGGGGCAGCCTTCCGGGTGGTGGTGGTGGGGACCCTGTAGCCGTGAGTGCTCTGGCCAAGGCCTTGGCTCGCAGGGGGCCACTGGCGCTGGGCCCACCCCACCCAGCTCGCCCAGTTAAGGGAGGCACCCAGTCTGTGGGTTGCCTGGGCAAGGAGGGGAGGGTGTAGTCTGCAGGCTTTGTGGGACCCGACTGGGTGTTACTGGTCGATCAGTCAGAGGGGTCTTGAGTCATTATGGGGAGAGCCGGGTCTGGTAAAAGTGGGGTGAGGCCTCTGAGGTTGGGCGGGTAGTGGGAGTAGCACCCCGCCCCCAGGGTGGTAAGGCCCCAGGGTGGTAAGGCCCCCGGGAAGAGAGGTCCACTTAAAGGTCCCTGTGCGAGACCAGCAGAGGACCCGTGGAAAGTCCGTGGTCTTTGGGTCTCGACTGTGCCCGCCAGGGTCACACCCAGAAGGGAGGTCGGGACGTTTTCCAGAAGAGCTACTATGTCCTCGGGGGTCAGAGGACACAAGACACCCAGCTTCAGCTCTGTGGGATTTGGAAGTTCATTCACATCTCTTACTCAGAAGGGTGTCTCTGAGCCCTGGGAGCTGAGAGGATTTATCCTTCCTCTGTCTTTGTGTTCCTAGGTACGGGAAGAGGGCTGATGAGCAGAAGGTCCCTGCAGGTGAGAGTTCCTCTCTTATCCTCCAAACCCAGTGTACGTTTTGCTGCTTTGTTGTGTGGTTGTTTAAATCAAGTGGATTAAAAGTATTTCAGACATACAGGCATTTTTTTACTCAGTAGACACTTTATAATACAATTCTGTCAGTAAAATGTAATTTGCTGCACACAAGAGACAAACCCCAAGTAACAGTGCATAGACAGTAGAAGGTTCTTTTGCTCAGTGTGAACAAGCCTGGGTAGGCCGCCTGGCTGGCTCAGTGATCTGTGGCCAGCCGTGGCCCCAGTTCTTCCCAGCTCTCTGTCTGCATCCTTAGAGGGGCTGATGCCCTCAGGTGCTTCATGGAGTTCCTGGAAGCGAGCAGCAGGACAGAGCAAAGGGGGTGAGGAAGGGCAGACTTCCTCCCACTGAGGATGTTCCAGCCGCACCTGCTCTGCCAGCCCAGGTGCGCAGCCCTGCGGCTGTGAGGAGGGCAGGGGCTTGTTGGTGTTGGCGGCTGGTGGTTTCTGCAATGGCAGGTTGTAGGAGTCAGATCGTATTTTCAGAGTGTGAGTGGAGGGAGCTGCTCTCATCGGAGAGACCGTGCACAGCAGAGGGGCAGAAGGAGTGAGCAGGGCAGGGGGTCTCAGAGCCCATCCCCAGATGGCCCCCCACTGGTTCCTCATGCCCTGGGTGTCTGTGTCCTCCCCTCCCCCACGCAGAGCCAGAGGGCGGAGCCAGAGGACAGGGGCCCAGGGCCCGTTGCGCTCTTCGTCCACTGCTTAGTGTGTGCACCTTTCCGTGCAGCTGCACCGCGGTGCCTTGGTTTGTTTGTAGGTATCTTCCTGTGCCGTCCATGGTATTTTTTAGTGTAAAATGTTTTATTTTTTAATGATCGTTTTATTCAATTACAGTTGTCTGGACTTTTAATTATTTTTATTTATTGAAATTACTTTATCTTTAATTTAATTTAATTTATATAAAGCCCAGCCATGGGCTCATCTTTACTGTAAAGAGTGGTAACTTTTAATGTCATAATTCTGCTATGCTATTTTAAATGAATTTATAACTTTTAATTGTGACAAAACATACATAACGTAAAATTGACCGTCTTAAACCATTTTCAGTGTGCAGCTGACTGTTAAGTGCTTTCACGTTGTATAATGTTACCCTTTGAAAGGAGGTGGAGTTCATTCTGTAGCAGAATGTGGGGGGGAGAAATGCATGTATGCAGCAGGGAAGGTGGGTTATTTCAGTTGAGATCATAAAGTGATAATTGGCAGCTGCTCTATGTGTACTTCAAAATATGGCTTTTTTTGTTAGACTTTTTGGAAATTGAGACATATTTTACATAGAGTGAAATGCACAGGTTTTAAAGATTTTATTTATTTATTTTTAGACAGAGGGGAATGGAGGGAGAGAAACACGGATGTGTCATTACCTCTCGTGCATCCTTAACTCTTGTGCGCCCTGCACCGGGCAACCTGGCCCACAACCCAGGCATGTGCCCTGACCAGGAATCAAGCCAGTGACCCTTTGGTTTGCAGGCCAGCACTCAATCCACTGAGCCACACCAGTCAGGGCAAAATGCACAGATTTGAAGTATCCAGTTTGATGAGTTTTGATGATGAAGGTACTTACCAAAGATACAGCACATTTTATTAAGTGGTTCTTTACGAATCAAAAGCCATGGCCGTCAGGACAGGAAGGGACGGTAGCGATCACCCAGCCTGGTCTGGATTCACAGACAAGGAGCCCGGACAGCGTCCGGCTGAAATCTTTGCCTTTGGTGCCCGTTACAGAGGAAGCAGGACCTTATATCTGGTTCTCAGTGCTTCGTTCCTGGCGTCAGTTACCTGGTGTCTTAATTTTCTTCCCGTGTTTCTGTCTCAGTGGGAGGAACTGAAAAACTGTCCCTTTGCGGGTGGTGAAACGAGGCCCTGTCCGCAGCTGGGGCACCCGCTGTGCGGGGAGGAGGCCGCAGCCTGGCCCAGTCACCGCAGACATGGGACCCCGGGTGGGGCTTTGGGTGGCTTCTGTCTCTTTCCCGAAGGCAGCAGGATTTCTGGGCCTGGGAAAGCGAAGGGACAGTTTGATTGGAGTTGTCCGAGTGTTTCCACTCTTTCTGATGAAAGGTTGACTGGTGGTGGGTGTCAGTCCCATCATTGACCCTTCATTCCCGTGGGGGTCATAGGGCCTGTGTGGGAGCATCTCACCTCCACCTGCTGACTCGGGCACCGGGTCAGTCCGCGTGGGGGTCTGAGGTTGGGTTTTCCAGGCTCCGAGGGGAGGATGGCAGAAAGGGGGCGTGATGAGAGGTGTGCTCACAGGCTGTTCCCAGAGCACGGGCGTGCTAAACTTGACTTTCTCTTTTGGTAAGGAGGGACAGGTGATTCTGTCGTTGCCCGAGAGCTGCCTGCTCACCACGGACACAGTGATTAGGAGCTACTTAGGGGCGTACGTCGCTAAGTAAGTGGCCGCACACATGCTCGTCTGGCGCCCCCCGCTTCTCCTTTCACGTCTGTGTCGTTGGCAGACCGGTCCCCTAAGCCAGAGTTCAGGAGGACCCAGCCCCTCTGCAGAGCGGGGACCTGCGGGGATGCGGAAGGTCTCCAGGGTTCCATGAAGCTCATTGTAAACAGCATTTCAGAGCTTTCAACAGGCCGCCTGGAGGAGGGCTTGCATCCTGACCTGTCACAGGAAGTAGAGGTTCTGTGGGCAGTAGAGGGACATTGCGGCCGAGGGCCTGGACTCGTAGGAGCCTGTTCCCTGTCGTCGTAGAGCTGGACATGTTAATTACTCTTTTATTTTACCTTTATGGAAGTTGCTTGAATTTTCTTTCAACTCTGAAGAGCTGTTGACATCATGAAAGAGTTAGTTTTATTTAAGCTCAAAGGGAGGAGGCCCCGTTGGAGTGGAGAACTGCTCCCTGGCACCTGCTGTGGTGGGCTTGTTCGGGGACTGTCTGAGGACAGAGCATGTGACATCCTCAGCAGACGGGCTTTCTAAGTCGTGAGGGTTGCAAGCTCGTATTGTCTTTTAACGCAGGCTAAGCTCTGGGCGCGCCCCTCCCCCAGCCCCACCTTGCCTGGTAGGAGGCCCGACGCATCTCTATGGGCCTGAGCAGAGGCAAGGATGCCCTTCGTATTAATATTTCTGTGTTGTTCTGAGATTTGGAGTAGACTGTATGGTAACGTAGGAATCTGGGCTTTGAAGGATTAATGTGAACTTTCTAAATACATTCTTGCAGCACGAGATCTTTTGGGGAACAGATGAGAATACTGTAGTGTAGAATTGTAGTAGAGATGGTTAAGGTTAGAATTGAAATAGCCACATGTACCCAGTGGATGGGCCAGGTCTAGATTCTTTCCATCAGCCTCCCTGCCCCGTCCACCACATTTTATAGCAACATCCGAGTGACACAGGTGACTTCCACCAAAAGCTTTAAAGGCAGAGAGCCAAGCTGGAAGCAAAGAGGTGTTTTGCAGAAAGGAATCCCTTGCAAACAAAGCTGGGACTCAGGTTAGTGTGATTGTCCTTGTGTCGATGGGCGTGACTTGCTCGAGGACTTGGGTTGGGTGCCCTCCGGAGAGGAGGTCTGGACAAGGAAGACTGGTGCGAGCGTGAAGGAAGCGGGGCGAGGAGTGGCCGTGGCCCAGCCCCGCTGGGAGCCGGACAAACCACGAGGAGGTCTGTAACTTCATTGAAACTAATTCCTTCATTCTGGCTTTCAATTTTAAAAGGTGGCAGCCTCCTCCCTCTCCTCTGCTGGCTCTGTGTACCTTCCTAGTCGCAGAAAAGCACGCGGGGGGCCGGTCCCCCTGGAAGCCTTACCTGGAGATTTTACCGAAGGCCTACACCTGCCCTGTTTGTTTGGAGCCGGAGGTGGTGGACCTCCTCCCCAGCCCCTTGAAAGCGAAGGCCCAGGAACAGAGAGCCCGCGTGCAGGAGTTGTTTACGTCCTCCAGAGGCTTCTTCTCCTCCCTGCAGCCTCTGTTCTCCGAGGCCGTGGAGAGCATCTTCTGCTACAGCGCCTTCCTGTGGGCCTGGGGCACCGTCAACACCAGGGCAGTGTACCTGGCGCGTGGGCGGAGGAGCTGCTTCTCCGCAGAGCCAGACACCTGTGCACTGGCCCCCTACCTGGATCTGCTGAATCACAGCCCCGCCGTCCAGGTGAGACGTTGACAAGGGCACACATGTCCTGTTTTCTATGGGAAGGACTCCGACGTGTGGAAGCTGTGACCTAGCATGTGAACGGAACCACAGGGAAGGGTGCAGCTGGCTTCAGTTTGTGCCTGCCTGCCTGCCTTCTGTTTATGCCCCTGCCTTTCCTCTCAGCCCCCTGCGCCCCTCTGGCATCCTCCTCCTCTGCCCGCTTCCCCTGCTCGCCGGTCCCGTTCCCTTTCACCCTGGCATCGCTCTCAGCGTTCACCCGTGCTGCGCTCACGGGCCAACGTGGGCATCTGGCCCCCATGAGCTCTGGTGTCATAGAGGACGGGCACCTGGCCTTGCTCCTCTGTGTAGCCTCAGGGCTCACGCAGGGCCTGCCACACAGCAGGCATCCCGTAAGCCTTCACTGAACGGGCAGCTGGTCTGTGGAGAAGGGGTCTGGGAAGCATGAAAGCACCCCGCTGCGGGCGAGGTGCAGCCTCCTGTCCCCCGGGCCCGCCCCCGGCACAGGAGGGGCTTTCTGCTGTGGGCCCGAGGGGCGGAGGTTGGCTGTGTGGGCATCCCTGTACCCATCCAGGGTGCCTGTGGAGGCACCCTGGCTGGAACCTGTGCTCATCTGTCCCCTTCATGTCCCACGCCACCCTGAGAAGTCTGTGGCACCCTGTTAGCCCATCGCCATTGGAGGAGAGCTGGGGGAGGCCCCGACTGTGCCTTCCGGGGCCAGGACAGTCTTCTTACTTGTCTGCTTGTCCCTTCTGTAGAAAGCTGTGCCTCTAACAACCTGGAGCAAAGGAGGCCAGGTCTAGGAGGCTGTTTATTTGTTTGGTGTGGCTTTATTTTTATGGGGCAGTCAGTGCATATGTGCCTAGACCAGTGGTTTTATAGTTGAGTGCAAGGTACTGCCTACTGCAGCCGGGGGGAGGTGGTTCAGGGGCCCTGGGTAAGCCCAGGGTGTTTGCTGTTTGGCCCTTTATGGCACAAGGTGGCCGTGCCCCCGTCCAGAGTGGTGTGTTGTTGATGCTGCAAGGTGGGGATTCCGGCCGGCGGCTCACCCTTGCCTCGCTGGGACCTGCTGCTAAGTAAGGAGACTCAGTGCCTGTACCCACTCCTGACTGTGGGGGCAGTTAGGTCTTCTTGTTCTCTTCCTCCATACCTATCAACTCACAAAAGTGTCACAAAATCCAGGTGACAGTATCAGCCAGTAACACCACGCTCAAAGGCTGCATATTGTAGGACCTGAAATCCTCTGGGCTTCACAGGGCCCCAGAGGCCTGACTGGCAGTCTTCTGCTCTCACCACATAGTTCCCGAGCTGGCGGGGAAGGCTCCCCCCACCGGCTGATTGCTCTGTCAGCCGGACTAGCTGCCCCCACTGGTCCTCGGCCTACCAGGCCTCACCTCCCCACCAGCCTCGGAGTCACTCAAACAGGCCAGTTGTGTCCTTCCACTGAACTCAGGGAACCGGTGACCTGTCACCATGAAGCCTGCCTCCAGTGGCTCCCACTGGTGACTCTGCTCCCAAGAGCAGCCCTGTGTGGCCTGTCTGGCCCTTCCCCGCCCGGCCGTCTACAGGCCGAGGTCCGATGTCAGGGGTCCCGAGTTCACCCCACCCTGAACCTTGGCAGGACTCCTTCCCCCAGGGGGTGAGTGGGCGAACTTGGGGCCACAGTGGGGGCGGGCACTGTTCCCTCTGTGGGTCAAGTCAGTGGCGAGTGGAAGGGGCACCTGGCTAAGTCAGTGCAGTGACTTAGTCTTTTTAGTGTTGTGTTTTGCTTTGAAAAAATGCTTTACCCAGATTTTTCTTTACAGGTAAACGCAGCATTTAACGAGGAGACTCGCTGTTACGAGATCCGAACGGGCTCACGCTGGAGGCCACGTGAAGAGGTGCTCATCTGCTACGGCCCCCATGACAACCAGCGGCTGCTCCTGGAGTACGGCTTCGTGCCCGCCCGCAACCCCCACGCCTGCGTGCATGTCACCCAAGGTTGGGCTCCTCGTCACTAACATGGTAGACGTTTCCCCCCGTCTAAGATGGGAGGAGTTTTAACAGAAAGGGCAAACCTTAAACTGCCTGTCATTTACTCTCCCCCAGGGAGTAGCCCGACTCTTACTGACCATGTAGTTGCAGTAATGAAATGAGAGCAGCAAGGTTTGATCGATACTGATGATAAGAAGAGCCAGGGTGACTTGTAGTGCAAGAAAAGGAAAGTTGCTAAGGAAATAAATGTACTGACAGAAGGAGAGGAAAGGAAATTTTTGTATTGAGACATTTCACTGTCACTAGAAATACAACAGGGTTAGAAAGCAACAAGTAATAGTTGCTTACATACAATAGTAAGCACCTATTGTATGTAAAGCACTGTGTTAACCACAGAGATAGATATATTAACAGTCTTTGATTGGAGTTTAGTGCTGCAGTGAAATAATGATTTTTCCCCCTTTCATTGGTGCCCTGACCAGGGATCAAACCCACAACCTTGGTATATCAGGTCAATGCTCTAGCCAACTGAGCTATCCCACCAGGGCCGAAGTATTGGTTTTATTTATGTTCTTTTGTGACCTGTTAACTAGCCACCATCATTGATATGGCTTTTTTTAATTAAAATTTTTTTAATTAATTTTTTTTGAGAGAGAAACATTGACTTGTTTTTCCACTTATTTATGCATTCATTGGTTGCTTCTTGTATGTGCCCTGACTGGGGATTGAACCTGCAACCTTGGTGGATCAGGACGATACTCTAACCAACTGAGTCACCTGGCCAGGGCTTGGTATGGCTATTTTTTTAAGGTAGTGATTTAGGTATTAAATTTATGCTGTGGAAGCTCTAAATATGGTGTGAAAAACAGTCCATAGTAGACTGAGTCCCTTCTCCTGAAGCAGCAGAGAACAGTTTCCTGGGCTGCGAAGAAATGGCCAGACTTACCAAGTGTATGATCTGGGGTAATTTTAATGTGAGTTCTAGTGGAAATGAAACTTGGTCGAGGTCATAGTGCTTCAGGCAGAGCAATGATGCTGTTTACGAAAATGAACTGGGAAAGCAGAACCGGGGCCTCCTGGGCGTCTCAGGGACCCAGCTCGGGAGCAGCCTCCGCGGGTCAGGGGTGTATGTGACACCGCTGGCCGTGAAGTACTGACTTGTGAATGTTTATGCACTAGCCATTATTACATTTAAAAAGCAAAAGCAAATACTAAAAGACCATTTAAAGATAGAAAAATCCCTCGTGGCCCTATTACCCAAAACAGCTTTGTTCATTTTTGTATACTCGCTGTCAGTCACTGAGGGCCGACCGCCCTGGATGCTGGCTTTCAGGGGCTCGGCGCCGTGGGCGTCTCCTGGTCCTGGGCAGAGCCTGCGCTTGCGCCTGCATCAGCGAGTCCCCGGCAGTCCTGCCGGGGCCGCCACCGCCTGCTTCTGTTGGTTGCTTTGCCTAGCGGGCGTGTGAGCTGATGTGGTGGTTTGGTCCCCCACCTTGGAGTTCTTGTGGCTTTTCTAGGACTGGTAATGGTCTCATTGCTTTGGACTTGGGTAGGTTGTGGATTTTTTTTGGTGTGAATTAGGTAAAACCGTTTACATGTGTTTTGATTGCCATTGGGAAGGAAAGTAAGCCGAGAAGGCAAGGTTTGTATTTTTGTCTGAATTATACCCTAAATTTCAGTCTGATTTTTTATGTAGATGTGCTTGTTAAGTATCTTCCGGCGGCAGACAAGCAGGTGGACAGAAAGATCTCCATTTTAAAGGATCACGACTTCACAGAGTAAGTGTTCTCCTCCCCGGAACTGCTCCATCAGATCTGGAGACAGGGTCCGGGGTCAGCGTTTCCGTAGGGACGAGATGCCTTCGGCTCTCACGGGGTGACGGGGTGTTTGTCGAGCGTGCACTGTGTGCAGTGACTTGTGCTCGTCGTGGTGGGGCACACAGCTGTGTAAGGTCATCGTCGGGAAACTTTTTCAGGGACATAAGACCCCAGCTTGAGATGCGGAGCTGTTGTCCCAGGGGAGAGCCCTGCCTGTGTGGGTGGGCGGCCCAGGGCCAGCCCGTCTCTCACGTGTGGTGCGGCGGGTCAGCCCTCTGCCCCCTGCCGCTGTGGCGCAGGTCCCTGGGATGGGGGTGGCCGGGTGACCCCCCGCACCTGGCGCAAACAGGCCTCAAGGCGCTCCCTCTCAGACTTGCCTCCGTAGGTGACGTTGTGCCACGAGTGACTGGGCCCAGTGTGGGGCTCCCAGCTGTGGGGCGGCGGTGGGTTGGGCCCCCAGGGCCTTCTGGACTCTCGCCATTCACCTGGCCGCCACCTGCGGCGCTGGCTTCCTGTGGACCCTCATCCAAGTGCAGCCGCTCACCGAAGTGAATGGGAAAGTAGCCTTTTACGTCTGTTTTTAACTTGAGAGTTTTCTGTTACTCAGGCTTTGTTATTAAGTATCTGCAGACTTGTTTTTCTCTTTGGCCTTGTGACCCCGATCGCAGGTTACATCGTGCTCGGTGGCCGCTTGAGAAAAACCGTTTGCTCTTTAGCCATTTGCCGTGGAGTACTGCAGTGATGGACTTGTCCTTGTTTTTCTGCTTTAGAAATCTGACGTTTGGATGGGATGGACCATCTTGGAGGTTACTCACCGCTCTTAAGCTGCTGTGTCTGCAAGCTGAAGAATTGTGAGTTCTGCGTGTGGTGGTCACGAGCTGTGGCCGCCATCTGGAACGCCCCTGTGTATATGGGGCTGCTCATTCCCTGTCACTCGCCCGTGGGTGGGGGGTTTCAGTTCTCGGGTTTCACTGCTTCTGGAATTCTGGTTTTAGCACCCTAATGAGAGTGCACGGTTCAGTCCCCACTCAGATACCCCCCTCGCTGACCTGCTGCTCCTCTGCCTGGGCAGACCGTCAGCAGTGTGGGCACCTTGCCGTCTACCTCACAGTCTCAGAGCTGGAGCCAGTGGAGCTCCTGACCCAGTTCTGCCCTGGGGGCAGATCCTGATCCCTGGGGTCAAGGAGATGCCCGGATGTGTTCATGGGGCAGGTAGGGTAGCCCCCGGTGGAGGCACTCGGCCTGGTCGGACTCCTGGTCCTTCCCCAGCACAGAGCTCCTTCAGCCTGGGGCTGTCCGGCAGCCGGGGAGCAGCTCACCATGTAGCAGAGTCTCAGGGGGAACCAGGGGCAGGGGCTGAAGGGGGCGAGGCACCCCGAGTTGTGGGGAGGGTGGGTGAGATAATGCCGGAGACTGGCCTCCACACCGGGCCTGTGGGCGTGGGCGCCCCTTCGGGCTGCCTCTCGTGCTGTGGCGTTGCTCCCTTCTCTTCTGTCCCTCCCTGGTCTCTGCCCTGGAAACGATCAAGTGTGTCCTCGGCAGACACCCCTGTGCCTGTGGGGTCCCCCTCCCTGTTGTTCACCAGACCCTCGGGCCGCCTGGCGGCCGTTGACAGTGCGGCCTCTCCTGCTGCGTCTTACCTCCCTCCTCTTCTTTCTCTGCCTCCCTTTCCCGGCCTGAGCTTCTGACTTCCATGTGCACACGTCAGCGTCCCTGACTCCTCGGAGGAGGACTGTGAGTCCTGCTCAGCCAGTCGGCCCCGCTGCGGTGCCACGGCTGCGCGTTTCTGGGGGCTGCACCGCCGTTGGTGTCCTCCCTCAGCCTCGGCTCTCCCTGTCCAGCTGTGGCAGGAAAAGCGCCTTCTTGGGGTTCTGCCTGGTGCCTGTTGGCATGTGCCCTTTCTGCTGTGTCACCTTGTCACCCGGGGTGAGCACTCCGCTGCCCGCATTCTCTGTCTCTGTGTCTAACGTGGGCACAGTGGTGCTTTCTCTGCTGGAAACTGCGAGGGTTAAATTAAATAACAGTTTTGTGTAGAACACCGTGCCTGGCACACGGCTTCCTCCCTTCCTTTGCTGAGAAGTCACGCATTCCTGAAGTTTCGGCCATCGTCCCTGAAGCTGCAGATGCCGGGACAAGCCTGTGGGGCTTGTCAGCGGTTCTGCATTTCTTAGCGCCTCTGCATTTCTAGGCGCCTCTGTCTACTGCCACTCGCATACTGTCGCAGTCACCTTGCCTTCCCCCTTCTACGCCACTCCCTCTTGAGGTTCTGCACGTGTGGCCTCTGTCCTCCACCCTTCCTCCGACTCCTGCTTCTCCCGGTGACTACAGTCGGCCCTGCCACTTCGGGCTCAGTGTCCAGCTGTGGCTCCCCGGTGCCTGCCCACTGAGTGCACCTCCTCCGAATGTCCCTAGTGACCTGCATGGGTGGGGAGGCACCACCGCCAATTCCGCTTTCCATCGTAGCACTTCTTACTTGTGGAGCGCGTTCCCTTCAGGTTCCATCTTTCAGGAGAGACTGTCACTTAAAGAAAAGGGAAAACCTGCCAGTTTGCCTGTTAGTTTGCCTGTTAGTCCTTTTGGCTGTGGACTTGCCTTCCTGCTCTGTCTCCTGCTGTTCCCATGCCCGGTGGGCAGGGCCCCGCTCACTGACATGCCAGACGCCGGGCGGCCTCAGCTCTGGCTGTGGTGGGGCTGGCGGAGGGGGGTGTGGCCCTGCTGTGGGCGAGTTTGGTTTCGTCATGGAAAATCAGGGCAGGCTGGGGGGGGCGGTGCTGAGGTGTAAAAGTCACCTGTATTTTATTCTGGTTCTAGTCCATGCTGGAAAAAAGTACTTCTTGGAGAAAGAGTTTCAGATACAAATGAAAAGACAAGTCTGCACATAGCCCAGAAAATATGCCGTCATTTCATAGAGGAGACGAACGCTGTGCTTCAGAAGGTACGTTTCTGTAACTTTGCATCTTTTCCTCCCAGACGGGCGCCGACGCAGGAGTTGCTTGTTCGGACTGGCTGGGGGCGGGGCCTCTTCTGGGGTGCTGTTTAATGCCTTGGTTCTAGGGCGCCAGTGTGATCTGGTTTTTAGTGTTAACGTTGTGTCTGCACCTTTTATTTTATTAGTATTTTTTTCTTGGCAATTTCTTTTTGAAAAAGTTTTGTAGTGTATTTTTTCATTACCATTTATCCCCCTTTACAAACTCTTCCATGTGCCCAACTTGCAGTCACCACACTGTTGTCTGTGTCCATGACTCCTTGAACCTTATCATAGTAAAATCCTCGAATGAATTATTGGTAGTAGATTCTTAAGTACTGTTTCCCTTTTATTTTTATTTAGTAACTGTTGTAATTAAACGAGCAATCAGCTCGCTTGAATGAAAACATTACTGGGATTCAAAAAATGTTAATGAATCCGGAAGACAGCATTGTGCTAAGTGAAGTAAACCAGAATGCACGAAAGACGAATGTTGTGTGGTCCCACTTATGTGAGACGCCTGGAGCGGCAAGCTCGTGGGGACAGGCAGGGCAGGGGCCGGGGACAGGGACGGGGTGGCAGGAGTTAGCGTGTAGTGTGGGTTGGGTTCAGAGTTTGTGTTCGGGGTGAGGAAGCACTTCTGGTGATGATGGCATAGCACTGTAGACATACTCGATGCTACTGGATGGTGCATTTAAAAGTGCTCAAAGTGGTGAATTTTATGTATATCCTATTGTGATGAAACATTTAAAACACGACTTCCAGGTTTCCCTGATGAAAGCTAGAGGAACGGCTTTGGCAGCCCAGCTCACGTTGGTTGAAACCCTGAGGATGGAGGAGCTCAAGGTTCTGCGGGCGTGTGCTGAGGCCCCACACCGCCCACACGCAGCTCCGACGTAGCTCCCCAGTGCCTGCAGCTCCCCAGTGCGTGCGCTCGGCTCCTGCGGGAGTGTGGCTTCTTGATCATTTTTACCTAGAGGCTTGTTTTTTACAGAATCGTGCACACTCAGAGTCTGGTTTCTATTAAACGTGGATATGCTCACTCTTCCGCCTGTCTGTCATTTGTGGGGCTGAGTGGTGGCCGCTCCAGGGACTGAGGTGGACATCTGCAGGGCAGCAGGGTCTGGGGTTCTGTCTTTGAGGGGGATGCACTGTCCATTGGTCTTCTAAACTCAAAGTCAACGGTGGTCCTGATGGGGTGGTCTGCGGACCGGGCTGGGCCGGATGAGGGGGAGGCCCGGGAGCTGGAGGCGGCCAGGCTCTGCGGGCGGGTGGCCTGCCTTTCCCTGGGCGTCCCGTTGCTCATTCTGCTCCGCAGCGGTGAAAGGGCGAGCATGGCGCTGCAGTTGCGCGTGCTCTGACACTGTCAGGGTCAGGGGCGCCCGGCGGTGGGTGGCTTTGGCACGGGGAGTGCTGGGCAGTCCTGGGCCGGCCTTCACTCCTGGCTGCTCTGAGCTGAGCAAACCACCTCGAACTTCCCACCCTGACGTCCCAGCCGAGCCTGAGTGTGGGCTGGGAGGGCGGTTCCCCTGTGCTCCAGCCCGGGCGCCCCCGCCCGGCAGAGGGGTTGGCACTGGGGCAGCAGAGGCCCAGGGGATGCCACCGCCCACCCCTGGCTCGCCGCTCTCTCAGAACCAGGGCACTGGGGACCGTCTGCGCTGGCTGTGACATTTGTGAGTGGAACATCGGTCACTGCTACACCCAGGAGGAGTCGGGCCCTGCTGTCTGGCTGTTTGCAGTTTCCCGGGACGGGTTCGAGTCTTGGTGGCGACGTCCCTTCACTGTTCCCTGTGCGGTGGGCACTCGCTCACCTTTTATTCTGTCCCTTCAGAGTTGCATTGGGAGGATCAGAAGAGAAATTCTTCTGCTCAGTGGCCATGGAGAGCAACCTCGAGTCTTTACCTTTCTTCTTTTTCTAAAAAAAACAACGAAAGCATTTGAGGCCATTGACTTGCCTCTCTGAGTGTGATTGGATGTCAAGCCTGCTCTAAATAGTACTTTTGAGATCCTGGCTCTGGATTTATACTTGTGACAGTGTTTTCATGCCTGTCAATCAACATTTGGGACAACTATGGGCAAGAGGGTGGGGGTCAGATCAGATATCAAATGATACCACAGGTGCTCATTGTAGAAACTTTATCGAAACACAAGACGGTAACATTAAGCATCAGCGTGACGGCGCAGGGCCCTCCTGTGCAGGGCCATTTAACCCTGCAGTTGCCCTGTTTCACGAGGAGGAGGTGGAGAGTTGTCTAAGATCGCACACTCAGGGCACCGTGGGGTGGAAAGGCCACTCGTCCTGCCCTCCCCAGTGGCCCTGTGTCCAGTGCTGTGTGACTCTGTCCAGAACTCTGCCGTCCTCACATGAGGACAGAGTTCATGGTCCGTGCTGTCATCCTGACTTTCAGCTGGCTCAGCGTGCACGAGAAGTGACACTGCTTCGAGTCTCGCGAGCGTTAGGGAGCACTGCTGGTCCTATTGGGGGGCGGGTCAGAGGGGTGGCGTTGCCTTCCCTGCCCTGAAATGGGAAAGTCTCCATTGAAAGCGAGGTGGGAGCCCTTCCTGCCAGAGCGCAGCCTTCCGCATGCTTTTACCCCAGCACCTGGCCGGCTTGTCCTCACCGCGAGGCTGCTCGCTGGGAAAGGCCGGCGCGGGCGCAGGCGCAGTGCGGCCTGTGCTGGGGCAGAAGGGGCTCTTGCTCGGGCAGTGAGGGCCTTGCCCCTGCCCTGTGGACACAGCTCCTCGGTCCACGAGTCCTCATGTGGGTGCATGGAGGTAGGTGTTGCAGGAGCCTTCTGAGGGACACTTTGGGGTTCCCAGGAGGAGGGCATTTCCCCTAAAAACTCCTGGCCTCTTGCATCCTGAAGCAGAGCCCATCTAACTGCCGATTGGGGAAGACGGCCTGGCCGGCTGTGCGGTTCTTTCAGGGTTATTCCTGGGCTCCGTCCTGTGCGGGCCTCCCTGCAGGGGCAGCCCAGCCCGGCCAGCGCTGGTGGGCCTCTGGATGTCTGCTCGGACTCGGGGTTCGTGTAGGTACACTGACCTAAAGCCACCGTCCCATCCTGATCTCTGCCCTTACTTTTATTCTGTACCCTGTTCAGAACCAGGGTGGGAAGGGGGCGTTCCCCCTACAGTCCTCAACAGGTTTGGCCTCCAGGGCCCCTGGGTAAGTCATGCAGGGTGGGCCTGCCAGTCCCGCCCCAGACTGCAGGGCCCGCCCCCGTGGGGCATTTCTGGCACCCCCAGCTCTCCTCGCTTCCTCCAGGTTTTTTTTACCCCTCCCTCCCCATCTGGGAATGAGGCCTGCTGACCTCGGAAGGCAAGCAGCATTAGACATAAGCATTTTTATTGTACTGTCAACATTTTGGCCCGTTCATATATGTAGTTGGCATTGACTTTATTTTTTAACAGCTGCAGTACATTTTGTGATGCCGGGGGTTCACAGACTTTTTCTATAAAGGGCCAGAAAGGAAGCACTTTAAATGTTCTGGGTCACACAGGACTTGCCCCGACTGCCCCGCACGACAGCCACAGACCACACTCGGGCGCACTGCATGGTGCCGCCCCAGCAACGCTCAGCGGACGAAGGCAGGTCACGAAGGCAGGTCACGGGCTAGCGCAGGCTGAGCCCTGTGCTGTCTCAGGCTTGTTTCCTGCCCCTGTCAGTGGGCGCTTGGGATCTATGCATGCTCGTTCCTCCTTGACGTTGCTTCACGCCTTTCAAACACAAAACCCTTCACGCCGACCACTGCACAGGCCTGGGCGGTGGCTGTGCTCTGGGTGGTGGGACGAGCACACAGACCACGGCAGAAAGTGACTGTGGAGAGACATCGGCTGGCGAGACGTCTCCCATCATCCGCCGCAGGTCTCCGTCTTGTTTATCTGAAAAACAGTGAATGAAAGGCTCCGTGTGTGACAGCGCCAGGGCGCACAGGCAGGCAGGCAGGCCCCTTGGGGGACCTGTGGCTGACACAGGACACCCCCGCCCCAGCCTGTGCTTGCAAAGTCACCGAGAGCCAGCAAAACCCATCTCTCCGTAGGGGAGCTGCCCTTGTGTCCAGACGCTGTTCTCTTCCTCACTCTCTCGTTTACCTCTGTTTTCTGTCTTCCTACACCTTTTTTGGTTTTCTAGGACCTTGCGCCTGCCCGAGGTTCCCAACTCACCCACCCCAGTGGTATCCGGTTATTGCAGAGTCTGTGGGTGGTGAGCCCGCCACGCTGAGTGGCCCGAGGGGACAGACGAGAAGTTCAGGGTGAGTGGAGGTGTTCTTCCAGTCTCAGGTCTTTGAAGCTAAATGGGCACTTACGTGCTTCTGCCTGAAGGTGGGGACTGGTGGTGGCTTCTTGGGAGGTGGGAGCTGCAGTTCTGGGACAGTGGCTTCGCAGCTCCTGGACTCTGCCCGGGGGAGCCGTCCAGCAGGGTGGGAATTTCTCTGCAGCTCCTCAGCTGCTAAACCGCAGCTGCGAGTCGCGTGATGCCGGGCAGTCGGCTTTGTCCCCTAGAGGGAAGTCTAAGGAAGCCTGTGCGGGCTTGTCAGCTGACGTGGGCACAGGGCTCTGCCGGGAGTGCCGCCATGTCACACAGGCAAACCAGCTTCTTCTGCAGGTCCCCAAGGTGTCCTGTGAGTTAAAGGGGACAGGAACATCGGGAGGGGAGAAGCAGGCCCGATGCACCTTTCTACAGCCCTGCCAGTGTGCCCCCCGCAGCGGTGTCGTGGCATCACACATGGCGCCGAGGTGGGGGCCCGGGGGCAGCCCCACCAGCTGGAGCCGGCACTGGTGGGACCTCCGGAGACCTCAGTGAAGGCTGCCCGTGCCCACAGTGGGGAGCCTGTAGGGTCCCCTGCCCTCCTCCCCAGGGCCGGGCCCCCCCTGCCCGAGCTGCCCTTGACTCGGGGAGGTGGTGATACAGGCACTTCCTAGACTTTTCTGCCACCGTCCTTGGTGTTTCCGCAGTGCAGCTTTTTGCTGCCTCTCTGCTGTAGTCCTAGCTGTCCCGGAGCTATTGTCACCCATGGGCGTGGTCATCGATTGCTTCTGTTGGGGGGATGAGCATGGGGACCCCTCACTGAGTTCCTCCCAGTCAGGTGCAGAGATGGCCGAGGCCGGGTCTCTCGCTGCAGGGTCTGCCTGAATTGTTCTGGGCTGTGCCAGGATGTGGGGGTCCTCAAACTTCCACCTGACTCTTGTCTGCCGATACCCTCTTTCCGAGCCTCTGGGCGGTAGGAACAAGCTGCTTAACTTCTCCCAGCTGGAACACTCTGGTTTTCCTAGGGCTGCAGTTATGCTGGTTCTGGGAGGTGGGACAGGGTGTGCTAGCTGCTAGATGGCCACCACGTGAGGTTGAGGTGCTTGCTGAGCGCAGGTTAATCCAAAGCTCCGATGCCTCAACGTTGGGTTCAGTACGAGCAGCCGGACCACAGCAGGTGCTCAGCACACCTTCCTTCTTTTCACAGGGCTCCTCGTCAAACAAGCTACACCTGCTTGTGAGGGTCCCAAGGGCTTGGGTGGAGGCCTGAGAAACCAGAAGTGGAGGGAGCTCTGCCGCCATGGGCTCTGCAGGGAGCCTGGGACACTTCCATCTCTGGACACTTGGTGGCAGGATTGCACCGCCGAGCTGGGGCGCCTGGCCCTCCCTGCTGCTCTGCCCAAAGCAGGCGGCTGTGGTTGGTTCAGACGGCTGTGGGGTCCGGGCTGAGCAAAACCCACTCTGTGTGTTGCCGCTGAGATAAAATGCAGACATTTGTCCTCTGTGGGCCGTTGGACCTCACTGGGTGAGCAACACAGGCCAACGAGCGCTAGTTAGAGGTGAAGGGGCCTGGCCAGGCGCGGTGGGCTGTGTAGGACCTGCTGGCCTCTGCCTGCAAACAGGCCATGGATGAATGTCCACGTGCCACACTTCTTTTTGAGGAGGGGAGAATTTCTTTACAGGGAGCCGGCTTCACCTCGTCACTGAGAGCGGGTGGAGCGAGGTCCCAACGCCTGGGCAAACAGGAAGGGCCACTCGTAATGAGCTGCAGCTGCCCACCTGCACAAAGAAAGG